AGATCTTACGTAAAGCAGAACAGTTCGTATGCAGTTGTTGGTTTAAACGTAACGTTCAGCATGTCCGAAGCCGTCCAATTGTTGCAACTGGGGCTCGGCTGGAATGCCGGCCCTCTGTGCCTGAGGGATGGTGCTGTGATGTGTTTTGCTTTATCTAAACTTGGCTGTATCCTGGAAAGTCAAAAGCCCTTTCACAATGTGATTTTTTTTTTGCTGTGTGAACCTGACTAAACAAAGGAAATGAAAGAGGCTTCTGTAAGACTCGTTCTCATGATGGACCACCAACCTGTTCCTGCACTTATTGTTTTGGAGAATAAATGAGATAGACATCTTGCTGGACTACCGCCAGGGCGACAAAATATCATAAATGAAGCTTTAAGGCATTTATTCACAATTGATTTTTGAACTATAATTTGCCAAAAAAAAAAAAAAAAAAAAACAGGTCCAAAAAGAAAACCATCGGCCTGCATTTTGATTCTTGATTGTATTTTTTGATTGAACCTCTGCAGTGGCAGAAGTCAGACTCTCAGGTGTGAGGTACTGAATTAGGAAAAAGGGCGTTCAAGTATGCTGCTCCCTCTTCTTGGGATCGGTTGCAAGATACTTTAAATCTTCGGGAGCTGGTTTCCTTGAATGTTTTTAAAGGTTGTCTAAATATCTGACTGTAGATGTTTTAGCTAACTCGTATTGCGTCTTTTTGATCGATTTGTTGCTGATGACTTATGACAGATTCTGATGAATGGTTCTTTTTGTGATTCCTGTTTTATGTTCATTGTTGTTAAGTGTCTTTATGTCTGAAACCCTGTAATTGTGCTGCTGCCTGTCTTGGTCAGGACGCTCTTGCAAAAGAGATTTTTAATCTCAATGAGACTTTTTCCTGGTTAAATTAAAAAATATATATATATTTCTAATATAAAGTTGGTAGTATTTTACAGTTCATTTTGGTTTCTCTTAATAAATATTTTTTAGAAATTGTCGTTATTCACATTAAAGTCAAAAGTCTGCTGAGCCTAATTCATGTCCACTTGTTTCTTTCACTTATTTTACATCTGATCTCCTAACAGTAATGTAGGTCCAATCACATTCTTCAAATGGCCATGCATATTTTTATTCCTGATTAGACTTCTTTTTAGATTTTTTTTCTTCCTACTTAATCTCTTTCTTTACATCCACTTTGTTGCGCTTTGTTTGTTTTATTAAATCATCTTTGGTCATTTAATGTGTACTGAAGTACACAAGGATTCACAAAAAAGAAAAACTTGGTGCGCAGTGAATTTAGATTTGATGGGCGATGCATGTTGGCTGGTGGAACTAAGGATGCATTCGTGGGCTGCAATAGAAGGAGCATTCCAAATGGGACAGCCTTTACCGTTACTGGCCTCCAAAGGATGCGGCCCCTTAAATGGTACACAGCCATGGACTCGTTCACGCTTTGAGGCATGTACCCTTTAAGTATGTCAGTGTGAGGGCTGTCCCACTCTCACATCATCAAGTGTGTGAGCGCTCTGATGAGGACTTTAGGATGCCAAATTACTCACTTTTCTGTGAGTGCACATATCTGCAGATTGTCTTTGAACACACCTCCGGGATGACGGTAGCATGTGACATCCTGCCCTCTCTGCCTGCGTTTGGTTTGGGTGTTTTTTTTTTTTTGGCTGAATCTCAAACTCTACACTCATGGACTCACGGACTTTGAGGCAACATCATCCACTGCTTCAGGGCTCTGATGCAGAATCTTCACTGAGAAATTACGCACTTTCCATGAATAGTCATATCCGCAGACTTTCCTGTGGGACTTGAACAGATTTCTTTGCATACTTGGTGATAGTATGTAGGACTGGATCATCCAGCCCCCCCACTAAATATTAACAAATGTTCGAATATTGAAGCAGTAGCCATTAAATATGCTTAAAACATAAATGTAATCATAGCAAGTATGGATGTGACGCAAAACTAAAATATGTTTTTTTTTAAACTTTTGATAGTTTTCTTAAATAGATAAACACTGTAATGAAATAAATGCAAACACATAATTAAGGTGGACTTTTCCCCTTATTTAATGTTGCATGTGATGTGCCATGACAGTGTCACACATCTTTTAGACATATCAAGCCCTCGTGAACTCAAACATCGCACGCCTGGTGCCATTAAAGTCTGCGAGGGTTCAATGCTGAGGCTTTAGGGCCAATCTTCCTGGATCAGGACAAGCAGGCAGATTTTTGAGGGACATCAGGAAACTGTCTACACTTGAGTTAATCAGGCTTCAGCTTATTTAAGTGACATCCATTTTAACAGCTCTCTCTCCTTTCTCCCTCCGAGGCCTCCACCAGCTGCTTTGGTTGTGCTTCTAGATTTTATTTGTATTTGTCACTCACTACACTCCTCCATACTTGATGTCTCTAACTTACATATTAGTCTTCATGGTACGATAAATTCATCTCTTTTTCTCTGACTTAGAGACAGTTTGTGACTGTAGATTTCAAAGAAATCCAAATATTTTGTTCAAGGCACCGTTTCCTTTTTGCAGTGTTGAACGTGTCCTAAAAGCTATCAGTGTGTTTCAACAATCTCTTGCAGGAGAGGCTCCATCTTTTCCCGAATCTGTTCCATATTTACCACTTAACCATTTTTTGAAAAGTGGTTCACTGTTTCTTAAAAATAGCCCAATAGATACACGTTGTTCCAGAAACAGATACAGCTCTGTGGAGGAAGCTGAGCAAGTGCTCCACCTCTACAGATCAACCAGGTTCTCTGCTGAATGTGTCGCCTACATGCAGCACACAGGAGGGACTGAAATAACCCATTGTGCCCTCTCTGAGTGGTACTAGATTTCTGCAACGTGCCAGAGAAAAAGGATGGGGGCCACTTGTCAGAACTGGGTTTTTCAGCTCCTAAGTGATGAGGAACCGCTCTGCAGGCTCGCTAATGTACAGTAAATGTGATGGGTGGGTTGGATTGTTGAGTTATGCAAGGCTTTCAGCCCTCTGTAATAGTGCAATACTTTGGCATGTTGTGTAACAGATTTGTCCTCCTCGCTTTTTTCAATGTGGGCCCAACGATACTTCCACTGTCCCCGGTCCATTTCCATTCCTGCCCTTTAACTTTCCATAGCAGTATGACAGCGATTTATTCAGCTCTTCAATGGCTACGAGAGCTCTTTTTGGGGGGGGAGGGGGGGTGCAGTTTGTAATCACTACCATATCTGACATACTTTCATTTTGTCATGTCAAAATAAAGGATCAAAAAATGATCAAAAAGATGTAGTCAAAACACAATTTATCAAACTACAATGACATATGTCTGGCCTAATGTAAAACAACATATTACTGACATAGTGATACCTGAAGAGGAGGCGGTATGGAGGGGTGGTCTCTTTCTGCCGTGTAACTGGCCTTTGATTGATTCTCCAAAATAACTAATTAACGCTAACCAACTCTTTAGATAGATTTCGGCATTAACTTTTAAGAGTTTAACTAAACAACAAAAAAACAGCAGTTCTTACCTTCCAACGCCGACCCTTCAGCTGACTGTTCAGATTCAATGTTTCTTTAGTCACAGAAAGTTCAAATGATGATTTACTCAGAAGGCCTGTCATGAGACTCAGGATGTTGTTTCCAGAAAAATAAAATATGTGTTGTGTTTTTTTTTTTTTAAAACATGACTTAAGGGGGCGCTGGTAGCCTAGTGGTTGGTGGGCGTGCCCCATGTACGGAGGATGAGGCCCCTTCAAGCAAGCAGCCCGGGTTTGAATGTGACCTGTGGCTCCTTTCGTGCATGTCTGTCCCCACTCCCCCCCCCCCAGCTCTGATTACTGTCCTGTCTCTAAATAAAGACATAAAAAAATAAAAAATAATAATTAATTACAAAAAATAAAAACAGTCTAGAAATTTTGGAGGAAAATATCTGGGCAATAAATGTGTGAAGTAAATTAGGAGAAACAACATTTTCTCTGCGTTGAAGACATTGTTCTCCTTCCAACAGTCTTTTGCTTTGTGTCTGTTTAGAGGTTTATCAGTGTTGCTCCTCCTCGCGCTGAGTGTTACAAGGCCTAGAGGGAGTTTGCCTGGATCAGATGATACTGCTGCTGCTGTGGAGAGGCAACAAGCACACTCTTAAATCCTCCTCTTTATGAACGTTGTTTCATATACCGTGTATTTATATCTGAATGTGTACATTAAAGAAAAGACTGCATTTTAATAGTGCAGAATACAGGAAAAAAAATGTATGTAATCAGTATGCAGTATGCAGTGTGATTATTTATAGATACATATCTATACAGTATATAAATGGATGTGAGTTTGTATTGTTCTTTTCTAGTCTTCTGACTACACAAAGTGCTTTTACACCACAGGTCACACCTACACATTCACACACTGATGGTAGAAGATTCTATGTACAGTAACCATCAAAAGTATCTAACCTATTCATACACATTCATACACCACCAACAAAGCAGTGGGAGCAACATGGGGTTGGCGTTTCTAAAGTTTGGTTGGGGCCCTATAGGTAAAAATCTATTGAGGGCCCCCTGCCCGCTATCACATCTCCCAGTGTCCTGACGCTCTTCCTCTTTCCTTTTTCACTCCTCTTCATTTTCCTTCGGTGAGTTTCATTGACAAACTTTGGTTGAGAGATGAGATGCTAATCAGTTACAATGAGAGTGAGTGCTGTCAGATGGGGCCCCATTAGGGAGGTTTCCTACCCCTGGGGGCCCCTATGTAGCCTGGGGCCCAAAGCAGTTAGCTGCCTTGCCTGTTAAGAAGCAACGCCTCTGGGGTTAAGTGTCTTGCCCAAGGACACATCGGATATGTGACTGCAGGAGCTGGGGATCAAACCCCCACCTTCCACTAAAGACACGATCATCTCTGATATTTATGCATACACACTGTACATGCACCTGTGTGTGTGTGTGTGTGTGTGTGTGTGTGTGTGTAATAATGAGAGGAATAATGGTTGTGTGTGTGTCTTGTATTATTGGGTATGAAATCGAATGGGCCGAGTCTTGTAAACATATGGCTTTTTATTTAATTTGAATGGATATTGTGACAACAAATCAAAGGAAACATGATCACCTATCAACATATGTTCGTTTTTGTTTCTTTTTTTTGTAAACAAATCCAAACAACAAACAATGTGGGATCTGGCCCATTGTATTTAAATATAGACGGAAAACAATATGCAAAATACAGAGCAAAACGGAAAAAAGCGAACAATGGTGAAATTATTAGACGTGTACAACACAATTTTCTTGTTCATTTATTTTGGAAAAAAAAAAAAAAAAAAACATGTAACATGTTAGTGGTTAAATTTGTTGTACAGTATATTTTTTGGTTTCTTTAAGATAACAAATAACACTATTCACAGAATATACAGTTCAGTAATCATTGTGTTTACCAGTTCTGTTTTAGGATGTGCTCATGTGTGGGGGCCATTATCGTAAATTGCATTTTCAAAGTTATTTTTCTCAGTGTTTGACTCATTCACAGTACATGCTTCCAGCCTCCAGACTCAGCGTATTTTAAGCTGTTGGTCTAGTCGTTCAGATCCTGCAAGCAACCACACAAACAATACAGGAGCAATGCGTTCATCAAGTCTCATCCCATGAGCAGATTTCTTTACAGAAGCACCACCAAAATCCAAAAATATTTCCTTTCACCCCCGATCAGCCGGAAGTATTTTTTTTATTTTGTTCAGTGACTTGATCATATTTTACAAGAGCCCCCGGCTGAATACTGCTCATACACACAAAGTAGATTAGACTGGGCGGGCCCTTTTTAATACTGCATACCCCACATACAGCACGAAGGGGTTTCTGTGGACTGGAAAAAAATCTTTGGTCAACTTTAGCAGTATGCAACAACCATAACAGTAGAGACAAGTCATAAAACACCATACAGTAACTTATTGTTCAAGTTCACAACACGATAGCTTTTTCAACAAAGACGCTTTTTGAACACCGTTGTCCAAATGAATGAAATGACACAAGTGTGGTTTTACTTCACTACTGCTTTTTGATCAAGACAATATGCACAGCTTCATAGGAAAGATGAAGACATCCGACGACAAAAAACACTTGAAAAATCTCTCACATGATACTGTTTCATGGCTCAACTCTCACTAGGACAAAACGTGGAAAAAAATCAGTTTACACATAATTATTTCTTTTGATTTAAACGGGGCTGGCAGGCAAACCAATAAGAAGAAATCAGAACGGGATAACAATGAAAGATTGAGATTTGTTAAGCTTGCATTTCTCAATGTTGGAAAAAAAGAATGCATTGAAAACTTTGAGTGTTTTCTATATTATGATGCATAACACACACGGATACATGTTATGCTTTTTATAAATTTTGCCTCATGTTGCTAAAGAAAGTTGCTTTCTCAGAACACAGAAACTTGGGATTTTATCTTCTTTTCATATTCCTTAAAAAATGGATGGACTATGGTACAGTATGTATTCAAAAAGTGCTGATTGGTGAGCCTTAAGGTCCCCGAAAACAATAAAATGAACATTGTAACAAAGGAAATATTGGCATTGGAGTTTGAGTTTCTACTCCTGGTCCATTGCTGCACCTGAGCTAACAGTCAGGTTTCGATGAAGGTTCGGGTTCTGGCTGTGCCTGTTTCTGCTCCGCACAGAGGAGAAGGACGTATCACAGCCGGGGACTTTACACTTGTGGAGCAGTCGGAGGTGGACAGTCTTGTAATGGGCTCTGAACGTGCCCTTGTTGCTGTACACCTTTTTACACACATGGCAGGTTATCGGGGATCCTCCACCACCACCTCCGTGAAGCCCACCTTGTCCTCCTCCCATGGTGCCCAGGGTCCTTTCTCCCCCGAGTGCCAACTCCTCCCCCCCAGGCCTCCCCACACTAATCCCATCGTAGCTTTCATCGCTGTCCTCTTTCGCGAGGACCTCTTCGTCCTCTTCTATCCCGTCCCCTTCTTCACTGCCGGCCCCGTCAGAGTCCCAGGAAGAGCGGGCACTGCCGCTCCCACGAGGTGGAGCAGAGGAGGAGGTACTCAGATCCAGGACCGCCCCATCCTCCCCACTTCCACCACCTTCTCCTAATCCCTCCATCTCACGTAAAGGAGATGCCTCAGCGCTGTATGTTGCTGTAGACATTTTGCTCATAGGGAAGACCAGGCCCATGCGGTTGTGGCCCCGGAAGATGACAGAGGTCTGGCTGGTAGGGTCTCGATGGGTCAGATCTCTGTCCTGCTGGTCTTGGCAGTAGTCCAGGCCCACAGAGTCTCTATCTCTACACTGGGATGAGGGTGAGTAGAGCGAGTTAGTTGGATTGAAGGAATCTTTGGTGAGCAGTTTGTGGTGCAGATTCAAATTTGCACTGTGTCTGTTGAAAGAAAAAAGAAATCTGCATCAGTAATCAGTTAAACCTTAACAAAGTGAAAATCTCATGTCAGACAAACCTACTGTTAAATGATTTTAAGGAGATACAGTACATAGCCAAATGCATAATTGTCTCCTTTAAGTCATGCTTATAGTGTTTGGGCATTTCTCAATGAAGCACAGACAACAAATTACTCAACAAGACTAAAAGTAAGATGACAATACAATAATCAGAAAACAGTTGAACTGATGCAGTGAATATATTAAAAACAGACAAGGATCGGTACAAGACATAAAAAACAAAATAAATGAATCATAATACAATACAAAGGATTGTCAGTTTTTTAGTATAATGTTCTAATAAGTAAACTATATAATAAGCAAAGTAAAACTATGGTTGTTTATGATCTCACTGTTCACCATAGCATTTTTCTTTCCATTTTAATTTAAGGACATGACTTTGCAAACTATTATTTTATAGTTGCATTTAGTTTTTGTTGGTGCTTTAAAAATAAATACTTCAGCAGCAGAATGATTGTATTTAGTGTTCAAGCAACGTTCTCGACCAAACTCAGAAAATGTTAAAAGGAAAAAGTTTAAGATAAATATTAAGTGGCTTTAGCCAATTTAGGATATTAGCCCTCAAACTTATATAACTTATATAATAAACTTATATAATATTTTTGGGTCATTTTTGCCTTTATTGGGAATAACAACTGAAGAGAGTCAGGAAATGTTGGGTGGAGACAGAGATGACATGCAACAAAGGGCTGAGGCTGGATTTGAACCCACGGAGGCTGTGACGAGGACTATTGCCTCTATACATGGGGTGCACATCATAACCAGTAGGCTATACGATGCCTCTATAATTTATAATTCTATACAGACAATTTTGTTTTTAGCTTGCAGTGATTTCATAGAAAATCTTCAGCTGAAAGATTGAAGAGTACAAAACAAGGTTGTTTGGTAAATGTTCTAAAAAAAAAATCAGGGGTATTGAATTCATCTTCACAAAAGGAACAGACTATGTGGATACACAGTCAGGCCTCCGCTCAGCAAATTTTATTTTAAATTCATCTCTTTTTTTGAAAGAAATTGATTTTTTTTCCATCTCTAAAAACTGCATTACACCTTTTCCACATTATTTATCGTTAACACAAGAAGCTAAAAGAAAAGAATAGATCAACAAGTCACAAGTGTGAATTTAAAACTCTAGTATGGGCCTAATGTTGGTTAGGATCATTTGTATCTGCTCTATAAGGTACCAGGTATACTCTAAGAATCACAAATAAAGTTGTTTTCTTAGTTCTGTTAATATTGTGTGACGTGCAGGCTTCACAGCCTTTTACACTCCAACCAAACTTAATCTGATAACTGCTGTTCCTCGTCTCTGCAAACATATTTTCTTGTTTCAGAGGCACACGGTTGGGAACCAATAACAGTGCTGTATTATTGATAAACATGGTGAAAGGATCAATAAGGACATCGCAAGCTGAGGGATGAATCTGTTGGAAACATCAAATTTTCAGGTGGCCGTTTGCCACAGAGTTGAAAAGAATGAAGCCAATGCTTAAGTGCAAAAGGCTGGCTTCAAAGGCCCCTTAAGTCACATGCACACCCATGTTAAAATGCCCATTTTGAGAGAAGAAATAAACCTGCAAACTGCATGGTTAACATTTTTGTTGGGTGTTTTTTTAATTAACTCATCCATTTAGATGTTATAAAGGATAACAGTTATGTATAATTAGAGGTGTGACTGACGCAAATGCTAGCTGGTAAATTACAGCTGTTTGTCAAGAAGCTCAAGGACCACCTCAGCTACACTTTTTGATCTGTGACTAACTTGACCAAAAGTTAGGTTTAGACGACATTTTCAATAAGGTGACTGCCATCATTTGGTCCCCTTCAGTAACCAATGCAGGACATCACTAAGACTACATCCATAGCCTATGGGTTTCCCTCAGATATTCCCAATACAATGAAAAAACACCAACGCCTCTCACCTGTCTCGGCTCCTGCGCGAAGGGAAGGCAGCGTTGCAGCCATCCACTGTGCACAAGTGCATCTCCTTTAGGTGGACATTTTGGTAGTGCATCTTGACACTATAGGGGTTCTTAAAGGTTTTATTGCAGATCTCACAGTGGTGCGGCAGGTCGGCGTCAGGGTCAAGGTGAGACAGACCCGAGTCACCGTAGTCATCGACACAGCTGTCCAAACCTTCCCTTTCATGGTCTATGAGCCGGGATGTGCCGCCATTCGTCACCCTGTGCTCGCCCCCCTCCCATCTTAGCTCTGACATCATGTTTGTGTGTTCCCTGCCCTCCTTCTCTGCGTTGCCATTGGGTTCCTGACAGAGGAAGTTGTTGTCACAGTGATTCTCCACCAGTCTGTTTTCAAAAGGGGACAAAGCACAGGAGATAACCTCTGTTTCAGCATGACCTGGCCCATTGTCTTTGTCCTCCCCTCCTGTAATGTCTCTCTCTAGAGTTTGGTCCAACAGACGCTTGGCACCCTCCCTCTCCTTTCCTTCGCCCATGTAAGTCCCTCTTGTCTCTTTCTCCTCTGCAGGTTGTCTCAGGCCTATATGCCCTTCTGCTTGGCTACACGCTTCCTTGCCATGTGAATGCAATGGACCCTCCTCCTCTGAGCTGTTGCCTTTGTCCATCAGCTCGTCTTGCTCCATTGCCTCCTTCTCGATCTTTATTGGCATGCTTGACTTACGAGACTTTTTCTTTGGTATGTGGTCCGTCATGTAAGGTTCAGGAGCTGTGATGGGTTTGATGGGTACAGAGGAGGACAACAGAGGAAGGGAGGGTAGTGTCCCCGGTGTGTTTGCAAGCTCGGCGGGGGTTACCAGGCTTCGGTAGAAAGGCAGGACTGGCTGTACAGTTTTTAAGTTAGGAAACAGGATGCCACTCTGGCCCATGCTGGGAAAAGAGCTGCTGTGGAGTTTGGATCCAGAGTCCACATGGCTTATCATGTAACTGGGCACGGACTTATGGCTTTCTGCAGAGCATACGGGAATCTGGGTTCCATATTCAGACCTCTTCTCGTCTTGAGAGTTCTCATCGCCGGACAAGCTCCCCCGCAGGTCTTTGTCTCGGTTGTTTCGGTTCATAGGCATGTGCAGTCGAGGGTTCGGGTTGGCACTGTGGCGATTGCGGCTTCGCAGTGAGCTAAACACCATGTTGCAGCCCTCTATAGTACACTTGTGCTTGATCTTCAGGTGTACCGCATTGTAGTGGATTTTCAACGTGCCCTTGTCGTAGAATGTCTTCTCACAGGCGTTGCAAAACACACGACCCTTCTTCAGAGAGCCTCCCCCGCCGCTTCCTCCTCCGCTCCCGTTCCTGTCCAGGGAGCGCAGCTTGCCATCCGGTGACATCTGCACATCAGAGCTCATAGAGGGGGTGCATGGAGTGGAGGCCCATCGGAGTAGTTGTCGCTAGTCGAGAAGTCCTCGGCCTCAATCTTTGTGGTGGTGGAGAGGCTGTCCAGTGGTTTGTCACCACTGAGGTCGATATCAGCTGTGAACGAGGCAGAGCTGGAGCCCAGCAGGCTGCTCTCTGAAGGGTGTGAAAGAGAAGGGGGTTTTCCCTCCCTAGGCCATCCCGCCCAAGATCATCTCGTCGCTGTTGCTCCATCGATCCACGGCAAGGTTGCTGGTGTTGCTGGTGGTGTTGCTGTAGTCCCCCTGTGGGTGAGCCAAGGAACGGTGTTGGGACAGAGCCTAACAGCTGGAACGGCAGCATGAATGCCATGCTGTTAATAAAGTTCTCAAAGTGGTGCATACTGTTGCCGCCGAGCTTATCAGCTTTCGATGCGGAGAGGTTGGCGGCAGTGCGCGGGGTGTTGCGCTCAATGAACGTGCGGATATCTGAGTTGGTGCGGGTGCTGGGAACCAATACTGCCTGGCCCTCCTTGTCCTGCAGAGCCATCAGCTCCACGATGGACTTGGTCTCTCCAAAGCGTAGGAACTGCTGCAGCGTGGCGATCTCCTCCTCAAAAGTCATGATGGCCCACCGGTCAAGCACCTTTCCAGCTACATCCTACAGACAGCAAAAGAGGGTACAGGAGAGGGGAGTGGGCAGGGGTGTGAAGTAGATTGGGGGGGAAAGGGAAAGTCAAAAAAGTAAAAAGGAGAGAAAGCAATTTCCTCATTAGCATTATAAGCGTGTGTTGGGTTGCTTATACATATTCAAAGCACGGGTTAGATGACACACCCTATAAACCAGACTGACAGTGCAGCTAAATAAAAGAATCAGATGGAGTGTTAATATAAGCGAGCAGCACAGAAGCCCGAGAACACTTATTACACAGACACACAGCGTTTCCTCTTGCAGGTCATTTCTCTTCATTTAAATCATGTGGATCAGCTGAAGCAGGCAGAGGAGAACACACACACACACACACACACGCACACACACACACACACACACACACACACACACACACACACACACACACACACGTTGTGGTGGGAACTTGCATATGGGCATACTAGCAGACATGTACACTCATATACATGTCCTAATCTATGCAAAAGTAAATATGTGCACATACATACCAAACAGACAAATGCATGCACGCACACGCACACACACTCGCACTAACACACACATATATAAATATATATATAAAGACACACAAGTAGGGGTGGGGGGTGATCAGAGGGCGGATCACATTGATCAAGAGGGTCCTCTCTCCCTTAGCCCCGCAGTAATCACATGTGAGTCAGGCGTCTTTGAAAGTGAGGAGCCGGTTCATGCCGTAACCATGATTAATATTTCATCACAGAGCATTCATTGGGCGCCTGTCGAGGATTTTGACTCTACGTTCGCCATTAGATGAGCTAACATGAATTAAACGCAGCCCAGCTTGAATACTTGATGATGTACTAATCGAAGTGAGAACTTGCTCTGACACAGTGCCTGCAGCCCAGGCCTTGGCAAGCTGGTCTCTAGCTTGAGAGGAGATCTGAAGCAACAGACATTTTTTTTTACAAATCTACCAGGCAGAGTTTGGAGACCTCCACACGGCCCGTGGTACCAAAGCAACCACATCAGCAAGAATCCAGGACACGTCAAGTTGTTTTGGTTGCCACATCACTGTCCTACTCTGGGGTATTTTCAGCCACACCTAATTCCTCCTTCTCCTTTTCTTGCCACATAATTTATTTCAGTCTTCCTCTTCATGTGCTATATTTAAATCTTTCTTTGTATTGTACAGTATGCACCCAAGGGTTAGGGTTATTTTAATGATTCAACGGTGCTTTTTTGATTAGCGATTCTGAAGTATTGTGATGAACATAGGTTTTAGAAATATTTCTCACACCTGACCAACACAGCATGTGTTAAATTATTGTCCAATCCACAACATGAGAAAGATGCTGGGTGCAGTGATTGCCTTCCAAGTGTCCACACACTTTTTGACTTTGCTTGCCGTTAAGTGGGAAACGCAGCAAATGGATTAATGGACTTGTGTAGCACGCAAGCTAACCACGGCTAATGCTAGTGGGCTAATATTAATAATTGAGTACATTTACTAACCTGAAATAGTACCTGCTGTTCACTGGATTTAGAAAACACGATCTGCAGATGAAGTTTTCTCTTAAAAAACCTGAATGTTCCTTACGTAAGCTAATATGCTAATTACCGGTAGATAGCTATCTAGCTAGTTCTTTATTTATGATGGAACAACAAATGCTAATTTCTCCATTTTTAAATCATTTTTCATTATTTAGCCTTTTTTTCAGAGGATGTTGTGGGATGACATGAAATATAACATTACTAATAGCCTGAAAGACTCACTTTTTGAGAAAACAAGGCATGCATGGCGTGCTGTTTTTCTCTTTCGGCTGCTCTTGGCTCATGTAGACTGTTTTGGACAGTAGACTGTAAACGAATATGACATCGAATATAGATCGCAGGAAAGAAATCAATTTCTAAAATTGTCCAACAGAAAAATCCAGACAATTTAGTGAATTGATTTTTCTTCCCATTCTATTTAAAGTGATGGTTTAATTTTAAAGTGAGGAGGAGGATCTACATTTTGGTAGAGGGTTTGCTTTCCTTACAATATTAAGTCTGTCTAAGGTTTCCATGCAGTACAGAACGAGAGTCAACATATGATAAGCTATCCAAGCATCGGAGGCAAGGGAAAAACAACTAGCATGGATGTGTCCAACATGCCATCCATAACTTTTCTAAGCTGTTATAAATCATTTATTTAACTACAAATCAAAGAGAAATGTAGGAGTAATCTTGGATTTTCAGGCTCATGTGCAGATACATAAGTCATTTTTTTTAAACAGATTTGCTGTCTCCTCTGCATCCTTTACTGACTTTGCATCACAGCACAGCCATGGCATTAATATTGATCTTCTCCACCATTTTTACTAGTTTTCAGTCCTGTTGTTATCCTAAAAATTTAAATAAATACTCAACATGCACAGAGAAAATCCCCCCTAATAGTTCACCTGGAGCACGTATCCTCGTATGTAGTCCTGCAGAGTCCAGTCGAGTGCATTAAGAATCTGGATCACCTCCTCCTGCTTCAGGACAGAGAAGAGCGGTCCAGGAGAATCTTGAGGCGGATTGGAATGGCTTGGGTTCCATACAGCATTAGGCTGCAGATATCAAACACCACGTTGGAGTGCACGATCTCCACCTGGCTGCTCTGGTACATGTGGTGCACCTTCAGCTTACTGAGAGCTAGAGGACACACAGCAGATTTGACTGGATTAGTTATCATGGCATCACTCTGGTGCCTGGAAAGACATATTCACACATACACAAAAATGAAAATGTCCTGAATTTTTCGGGGTGAGCCGATGTGACAGATATATAAGTGAGTGGGAGGGGATGATGGCATTTATATCGTGTGTCTGTTCCACAATCACAGACAGTTAAAAGCAAACATGTAATCAGATCTCCCTGCATGTAATGAAACTGCTTAACTTTGATTTCCATTCGCTGTGTGAATATGAATATGGATAAAAAGGTAGAAATTGTCATCATAGCATTGGATTCTGTTGCTTCATCCACCCCTTCCATGTTGTTGTGATTACATCAAGTCCTGCCTCCTGAGACCCCCCCCCCCCAACACACACACACACACACACACACACACACACACATAGACAGGGATAACCTCCTGCTGTGAGGTGCATGTGTGAACAAGCAAGTCAGTATATCAGGGACAGCCTGGCCTGAGATTTTCTCCGAATTGTCAGGAGTGCATCAGTAAAAATAGCAACAACAAAATAAAGGACAGAGCACGGGAACATGAAAAGTGGATGGAAGGGGATGGAAGGAAATATACAGTTAAATCACAAATAACAAGTGCAAGCAATTAAAAATGGCACATGTTAATTTATTAATTTATGTATGTATTCATTTAAGACGTCCAATGCTCACTCGGTCATTAACATTTAAGATAGTTAAGTTATCAATAATATGACATTTTTTGGAGGGGTTTACTAATTCAAAATGTGCTTTCAGCATCAGTGGATAATTTCAAACAATATTTAGGTGATAATGTGATAATGCTTTTAAAAGTCTAAATACCAGTAGTGCCTTTCTCCGACTCTCAGAGAGATAACAAAGCTGCCATAAGAAGGAAATCTACCATAACGGGAATGTTGTGATGGGAATGTTGTCTTAACCCTTCTTCACACCAGTGGTAACACTTCCTCCGTGTGATTCGGTGTTATTCAAAATTATAGTGATTTTTTTTTTTTCAGGAGCCGAGGAAGTGTACGAACTGATTTAGCAGGTAGAGTCAGTGTCACAAATGATTTGATATCATGAAATAAAAGTTGACATTCAGATATTTGAAGGCTAGGTGTGTGATACAAATTTCCCTCAGGGATTAATAAAGTATATCAAAATCAAAATCACACACTGTTTTTTTAATTATGCAAACATTGTAAAATAAAAAAATATACACATTGAACAAATATATCAGCAGTCAGCAACAGGTGCAGTTCATGCAGTGCCATCTGACCGCTATCTCTGCTGCTTATCTTGAAGCTTTTGAAGTAGCAGGGTGTATTCTTTTCAAGGTTGTGGGCACGTAACAATATACATTAAAAATATTTCTCAAAAATCACGTGTTGAAAAAAACATGATTTTTTTTTTGTTGAGGAAAACCAAAAAACAAGCTGTTGGTTTTTTATGTTTTCTGGGACATTGCTTAACGCGGTGATCACAGTATACAGGACACTTCCAAATCGACCAAAACATTAAGCAGTAACATCCAAGGTGTGAACTTTTAAATCTAAATCCATTTATATTTACTAAAAAAAAAAAAAAATCTGACTTCAAACTCAGATTGAAGCGATTTGATTTAATTAGTGATTACAGTTTATGTTATGGGAAAAGAAAACTATGGGTGAATTAAACCCTTTTATCCAATAAATGGTTCTACTGTGAATCAATCCAGCAGTCGCCATCGTGTTCTGCGAGCAGGAGGTAAAAGGATTTAGTGCACATCATCAGACAGACGTATTAGAATTAACTCTGGAAAGTCCAAGGAACACTCTGCGCTTACGACATTTACGCCTCTCGTTTGCGATGTGTAAACGATGTTTTCTTAGGAGGCAGAACATAACGTAAAAAGGACAACACAAGAATGGCCGACACAGCATAAGCAGCTCAACGGTATGGTAACTGTTTCTTCCTCTGTATCAATGCTTCATGTAACTGAACCTGTTCACAGTATCAACGGACGTGTGGCAAAGCGCATGCTCGTATTGCGGCTTCATGTTCATCACACTGGTTGCTCGTGAGTCTTATGATATGAACGTTATCACCGACGCCCGCTCGCTTGCAGGATATTTTCCGAAAGATTTCCTGCTATGTTCTCACATCGGCTCACAAACTGAAATTTTACCAGGGTGCAGGCAGCAAAAATTCTGTGTGAAGTTAAGATGAAATGATCGTTCATTTGCATTCACATGCAGCTCTCTCCAAAAATGTCGGAATATTTCCAGTAAGTTCTGTGTGTATGTGTGAAAAACGCCCACACAGAACTCTCTGCATTGTAACATTATATAAATAATACATGAGTATGTTTATATATAAATTAAAAACTGAATTGCTGTTCACACGTGTTATCCAAAGTTGGATGTGAGTTCTTACCGTGTGCCACCCAGCCGTGTTTGCAGTTTTCACACTGCCTCCTCTTCAGCTTCCCGGGCTTGAAGCTGTCACAGTTACAGTTCACCAAAGTGCAGCAAATAGCCTGTTAACACAAGATGAGCACAAAAGAAAATAGACTTTATTTTCAAACAAAAAATGTCATAACTGATACCCATTAAATCCTTAGAGCTTGTATCCTTTTCCTTCATGTGGCTTGACATTGAAAAAAATCACATGTTTTGTTTTATTCTAAATATGAAAATAGTGAGTAAAAGTGGAGCAGGCATGTCCCAAGTGTGAGAATCATTTTTGGTGGAGCACATTTGTAAACTCCTTACATGAAGGATTTAAGATGGTCAATGTCCAAGTAATTCCCTTTCTTTTGGCAGGTTTGGTCACATTTCCATGAAGAGAGCAACCTTAAAACAAAAATAGAAAACGAGCCCTATGATCTTCTTCTTTAACTGTGAAAGTTAAGACAAAACGTGTAGCTTTGTTTGTCTTACACAGATTCATGAAAAATGAACACGTTGCCCACGGAAACTGAAAGAAAGAGTGTGATGGCCTTAAGTAATTTTGCTCTCCCCCATGATCACTCATTGCCTGGTTTGCCCTGAGAGATAAGGACTGGCACAGCTGTGTGTGTGTGTGTCTGTGTGTGTGTGTGTGTGTGTGTGTGTGTGTATGTGTGTGTCAGCAGGGCTGCAGGGCAGGTTCTTTACAGTAACAAAAGGTCTTAGACCCACCTGGACCACCAAAACCATCTCAATCAATCAATGCCTAAGGCACAAACACCGGACACACACACACACACACACACACACACACACACAGGTCAAAGGAATCCATCCATTAGCTCATCTGCTAATGGACTTTATCTTTTCAGGACTAAACATGCAGAATAGTCGAGTGAGTGGCCGACACAGTGTCTCAAAGCGAAGAGTGAATGGCAGTAATGAGAGGAGTTCTCCGGGTAGCTGCTGACTTGGCAGCGACCCCGCTGAGAAGACTCCACCGCACTGATACACTGAAAATGACTCCGATTACCCTCTTTCTCTGCCTTAGACAAAAAAAAAAAATTCATTTACGCACCAGGAACCGAGGAAAGAGCATCATCGGATTTATGATCAAAGCCGGTGTTGTTAGTGCTACATGCACTACGCCACCTCTCTCCCTCTGCATCTATAATGCATGATCAGTGGGGTTTTTAGTATACATGAGCCGCATGCTTAGCGCCTCACTGGAGCTCGCTGCCTCTTCAAGCCGAGCAGGAGGAAGGAGTGTGGGTGGGTGGGTGGGTGGGTGGATGGGAAGGGCCCACCTCCTCCTCCTCCTCATTTAGTCAGTCAGTTGGTTCTTGTGCTAGAGGCGAGGCTTGTCCTTGAAAATCTGGGATCACGTTATTTCACCTTACAATAACCTCCCATCATTAGGACGGATAAAGCGACCCGAGATGAAGGTGGCAGCAGCTACCTGGCCTTGAACGCGGCGAGGGGGAGCTCTGGCTCCTGGTCCCGTGACATCCCTCCGCTTTGCTTTTCCTCTCTTGTCAGGTTTTATCCCCGGCCGGCCAAGTCCGCCATGTTCGGACTCCTCGGGACAGTGGTGAGGTGTAAAAAAAAAAAAACCCCTTTGCTCATCTCTCAGCCACATAATCCCATCATTACAGAGAACCAAGAACCAACACGGCCCAATTAGGCTAATCCCATCCCACTGTGAGCGCACACACACACACACACACACACACACACACACACACACACTCCTGCTGCTGCTCCTCCTAATATACATCTCAATCAGGTGCCCCCTGCTCGCTCAGCAGCCTGTACACACACACACACACACACACACACACACACACACACACACACATTCCAACACACAGTGTGCTTCAGGTCATTTATCTTAATTAGTGATTCATTTCATGAGTTCCTGAAACGAAGAAGAGGAGGGGGGAAACACGGCAGAACAGGGCGAGTTAAACATGACAGTGGCTCTTGGTGACCCCCCCCCCCCCCCCCCTCCCCTCGTCTCTTTACTGTTGTCACAACAAAGCCACGGCTGTTTGCAGGCATCAGTGAAGTAGATGACAAGGAGACTAATTGCACAAAATGATGCAGCTCGGTCAATGTGTCAGGAGCCAGAGCTAACACACTGTCACTTTCTCTGTATCACTGATGTCAAACACATCCAACCCCACCTCCACACACACCTTGGATTCACTACACAAGCCTCCTAATTAGCATTTTGATAGTACGAGCTTTTTGAATAATTGATTTACAACACAGGTTGATGTGTAATCTAAACTACTGCGTTATTAACTTTGTTTAAAATTCTGCATGATGTCTTTTTTTTTTTTTTTTTCCAACCAGCGATACATCAAGCAAGCTGAGACACTCCCAGAGAGCCACATCAGATTATGAGCGCACATCCATTATTGAATGCAAGCACATTTAGGTATCAGCATTTTTACCAACTCGGAGTCGTTGTGAGCACGTTTGACTCAAACTTGATCTTAAAACCTGAATTTAAAATCCTCTCCAGAGCTTTAAGCGTCCTCTCAGAGTTGTGAACAGCTCCTTCTTTAAGATGATGAGTTAATGACATCTTAACTCCGCTGGCTTATTATGTGAGATAGAAAGTATTGCAAATAGGAAGAAGATTTAAGTTAGCGCTAAAACGGTTAATAGTCAGGCGGAATTGAATACTATTTAAAACATTTCATGGAATAAAAATACACCTTGTTAGTGATTTTTTTTCTCCATCCTGATACGATGAACTCTAACAGCCTTGGTCCCTCTGAATCTCTTTATATATAGATACTTTTTCTGTGTGGGTTTTTATGGCACTGGCAGAACTCCATTTGCAGATCTTTCTTTCTCTTTTTTTTTTTCAGTCAGAAAACGTATTTAGTCTCCTTGTGTATTTCTTCATCTGCTACCAGTCGCTCTCTATCTGTTGGTTTCAGTTAAAGGCGTCTCAGTTGAGAGACTGTACACACGAAGAGGTCAGGCTGTGTGGGATGGATAGATCAAGGCCATGAATGAGGTTAAAGAGGGAGAAGGTGAGGGCAAGAAAAGAGATAAAGAGAAAGCAGGGGCAAAAAAAAATCAAAAAGCCTGAGTCATGGTTGTTTGACAAAGAGTGATCATGTGTATAAAACACCTTTACATGTTAAGTGGAAACACAGCCATAAAAACACAAGACACCGATGATCTGGTGTGACTGTTGACAGAAAAAAATACATCACACAACCACAGCGTAATAATGAATGACACTTTAACTAGATTCATCCAAACCTGACACCCAGCTGTTTCCTGAGCTCGACTAAACCGTCTTCCGCTCTGTGTCACACTCAAATTAAAAACATGCTTCAAGAAATATTAAGATGCATATGTGAAGTGTGTAGATGCAACAAACATCGATATGCAAAAGATATCCAAAAAACTAAAATTATTTTTTTTCTATGCAACAAAAATTGGGAACACACAGCACACATTCACACACACAGCAAACACACAAGACACACACACAAATACACACATATACACATACACAGGCTCACTAAGACAAAGACACACACACACAGAAGAAAATAATTGGAATAGTCCTTTCTGTTTTTTTTCTTCATATGTCCGGCGATGACCACAGTGCTTTAGAGACGGAGCAGAAGTGAACAGCTGCTTGGACTGAGACGGTTCAGGGATGGACGGGGACTTGTTGGCCTAACGCAGTGGAAAACTTATCAATTAGCAGCAGCCAGCCACTAACTGACACCCAATGGGGGAAACAAGCAGTACTGGTGCCAAAGAGTGAATAACTACAGCGCTGTCAGAAGAAGGAAGGAGGGGGGGGGGACTGACGGCCAAGCCGGAGCGGATCAGGTTTTACTACAAGCCATTAATCAGTTAACAAGACGATTGAAGCACAGGGGGAAACAAAAGGGAGTGAGGGGTTTATAATGGGAAAATAGTGATGATTACTAGATTGCATGTTTTCATAATTACATTTTTAAATTGAATGTTTTTACTGCAAACGGTTACTTTTGACAGAGCACAACATGGGCAGAGCAAATCAATAAAATAGATTAAATACAACTTCTATTATGACTGATATATAAAATGCTATTTAAGGTCTTTTGACGCTTCGAGATCAAAAGAATAAAAACATCTTGTGTAATGTTACTACGTCACATTTACCCTTACATGACATGAATTGACTTTGTCCTAAAACATATTGATGACCATTGTATGAGGGGGTTAATAGTTTTTCAATATCAGATTTAAATATGTTGAGTTATTTAGATTGGCTCTGGGTTTATTTTAGGACACTGATAAATAAGTGTTTGGATTTCCAGATTGAGAAACAAAATTTTGCCGTTTTCGTCTTCCTTCAAATCTGTCAAAACGCTGTTTCTATTAAAAGTTTCTGTTGAATAAATGAAGCGATATAGATTTGTGATTAACCATAAGTAGAGAAATGATTAATAATTTAAAAAATCTTTATTATTGATGTTTTGTTAAATGTTTGTTCAGACCTCTGTAAGGTCAAACAGTTCATAATAAAAACAACAACAATGCTGCTTCTTTTTCCTCTTTCCTACAAACAAAGCCTTTTCAAGAATTCTCCAACAACTTTCACTGAACATTTTCTTTTTTTCTTCTTCTCATATCTGTATGTAATGTTTCGCTCTTTGTCCACAAAAATATAATTTAAAGAAAATGACCCCTTCACTTCATAATAAATATCCCAAAAACAAACTGACCATTATTTTGGTAATTAAAAATCAACTGAACAAATCACTCTTTGTCTGACCCAGTTTAATGCTTTTATATTAAAGAACAGAAAACATTTCTAAAGGATGAATTCCACTAAAAAATAAACCAAGAACCACACAGCGAACACACACACACACACACACACACACACACACACACACACACACACACACACACACACACACACGGAAGAAGGAGGTATCTTATCCCAGCCAGAAAACACACAAAAAGAATTTAGTGGGCGCTCTGTGTTCCTGGTACCACTCAGGCATCCTGTTAATAACAACGCTTTGCACCAATAAAACCGCAGCAGCACCAAAACTTGTAGCTGACTTCACCTGGCTCCACTGTCCATCCCTCGCTGTGTTTGTGTGTTTGTGTGTGTGTGTGTGTGTGTGTGTGTGTTTATAGTAGGAGACAGAATACACTCATGAATAAATCATTGCCTGTGGACTGAGTTGTGGATATGTCAGCAAAGCAGTAAATGTTAATTGACGACAAGATTTAGTTAAAGTGAGGTTACATGAGCTGCTCAGCAGGAAACGTGATCCTGCCTCAGCTTTGATTTAACGTCGCTCCGCTAAGAAAGAGGAAGCACTTTAATACACAGCAAGTATAAAAAAGCCACTTGTGATATCGCCTGAATATATGACTTGCACACAAACTTTCAACTGCACTACCACACTGAATCTGTTCGTTGCACGGCTAATTTAAAGTCGACTCTTTTGTCAGATAGAGCAATTAACATTCACCTGATTTAAAAAAAAATGAAAAGAAAAGCCTCAAGTGTGAGCGCTGGTTTTTAACACTGCATTGGAGCTGAAAAGAAGAAGACAAACTTAAGGAAAGCCTGGCGGGTGCAAGTACTGACAGGCTGTGTTTGAGCCTGTTAAGAGTCCATACAGCCCAAAGACAGCGTGAAAAACTCATTATTTCAAACTCATCCAGCAGTCAATCACTAGCAAGCTCACACGCACACACAAAAAAACACACAACATGTTTTTTTTAAAACTAGAGCAGACAAAAGATAGCAAATCTTTACCTGAATATCCATGAAAGTGGTTGTCTTCTTTAAAAGAACAAAAAAAAAAAAAACTTTAAAGACAATGAGTCGGTATGGGAGGGAGGGAGGCGAACCAAAGTTTGGTTGGCTTCCTGGTGTTTGTGGCTCCCGGTTAGGAACTCGGAGGGAGTGTTTGGCTCCGAGAAGGAGTAAATGAGGGGAACATGTTAGTACACTGAGTCTGAGAGAGTTTGGCTCCCAGCTACGCTCTGATTAATATCAGATCTCCTTCTCTCCTCGCCTGCCTCTTGACAATCTTGTCACATCTGGCTGACAAATCCTCACAAGCCTTTTGGTGGCAGCGCAGAGCACACGCAAGGGACAGCTGTATGTGTGTGTGTGTGTGTGTGTGTGTGTGGGGGGGGGGTTTCTAGGGGTGTTAAGGGGTAGGTTGGGGCCAGGAGGGGCGGATCGCAGCTCGAGGAGACGCTGAAGGGGGTTAAAGGCATGAGGGCAGATACCCCCGCACCCCTCCATCCTCTCATAGAGGGACCATCATGAACCTAATGAAGCTGACTACGGTGGAAGGCTTTCGATGACACACACACACACACACACACACACACACACACACACACACACACACACACACACACACACGTACAGAAAGCTGAGTGTAAAGATGTGCAAGGCCCCTATTTTCAGTTCACATACATGAGTGTGTGTGTGTGTGTGTGTGTGTGTGTGTAATGGCCCTGCAGCATTAAGAGAGAACAGAGAGACACCCACAGAGAGAGAGAGATGGAGGTAAAAAAGAGGGAACAAATGATACAGCAGCAGGAATAAAGAGAAAGGACATACATGTTAAAGAAAAGCCACAGAGGGCCATTTAACACACACACACACACACACACACACACACACACACACACACACACACACACACACACACACACTTAAACAACCTAAATCCGTTTCATGGTTTGCTGTAGTAAAGGCCCACTCTCACTCAGTAAAACAAATGTATCCTGTGAGAGGAACATAAACGTGTGTGAGGAGGGTAAAATATGTCAAAAAGATCTTGTTAAAAATGGAATAAGTTTATTTTAAATATTTGTCATGATATAGTTTTCTATTCTCTTTAAATCAAAGACGGTGGATTTTACCCATTATACTAAATGAAAATTAATTTTGCTCTGATGTAGTTTAAATGTAACTTTAAATTAATTTGAAATAAAAAGTGGTTGCTATTTGATAAAAGACTAAATATAAAATAATCAGAGCAATCCATGAAATTTAAAAAATGTATTTTTGTTGTCCTTAATTTATTATTGTTCTGGAGACTATATTCAAACGTTAGAATTGACATGTCTCAGACTACCGTGACTGAATTAAAACAGTTTTTAAAACAAAGTAAATAAGTACGTTCAACTGAATATTTGCACATGAAATAAATAAACAAGTTACGCTTCAGACAATCTATGAAATCTATGTCCGCTCTCACAGTCTTATCGGAGTAACACTCAGTCTGTTTAGACGTCCCGCTTGGCTCTGACACGCTGTAATCTAACAGAGAATAAACCACAAATGTTTAGCATGTTTACACACAAACACACACACACACACACACACACACACTGAACACACGCAGGCTTGGAGGAAGCTGCTACCGACACCACCAACACACAGACAGCTAATTGTTACATTATGGCTGCAAAGAAACATTAGGCTGCTCTTAAATTGCATTCCAATACGCCTGTGGCCAGCGGCCAGGAAGCTGCAGGAGGCCTCGGAAAACACAGAGAGACAGACCAGGGTCGGCGTGATGGAGGACTGGTCCAGGGCAGAACTGCAGGGATTCTCTCTCTTCTTACAGTTTGAATGACGGTTGTAAAGTGTGAGGAAGAGATCAGATTCAACCAGAACAGAGCAGGAGAAAACAGGAGAGAGTAATTTAAGAATTTAAGAGACGGAGAGAGGACAGTCGTCGAGCTGGATCTGTCCACGCTCACTGTTTGTGTTTATTGGGAGTTTTCATGAGATTGATTTGAAGGCATGAAAGAACAATCTCTGTCCACGCTGACGGAGCCGTTCTTCATCGCTCTCTTAATGATGAAGAGCGTTTGAGGAAAAAGTCAAGCTACTAATTCCTCTTTAAAGAACTCTTTCAATTACAAAAAAAGCTGGCATTAAATCCCTCACAGATCGGATAGTTTCTAACTTAAATTCAAACTAAAAACGGGTCTGGACTATTTAGGGGGAAAAGTTGCTAACTTAGGGGGATTTTTTTTTTCAAAACATAATCTATCAAGAAAAGTCAGAACTTTTAAGTAGTACTGAATTCTGGGTAAATAACAGAATTTGGGGGGCTAGTGTCAAACATACCCACACTCACTCTGTGACAACTTTAAACAAGACAACTTAAAGAAATAAAAGAAATCTCAAATCTCAGCAAAAGTAAGTCCACGTCAGCATGCTTTTTTTTTTTTTTTTTTTTAACTTTAAAGCCCGTGCACATGAAAGTATTTAAAAAGATATAAAACATCCACATTCATCCTAATCTGAAGTGTGCACTCCTCCTGTCAGTCACGCCGCTCTGCATAAACTCCGTCCAGTTTGTCTTTGTTAAACATGTCCTGATTGTGCGCGCAGGCGGTGTGTGTGTGTGTGTGAGAAGAGCCGGGGTGAGCGGAGGATCACAGTGAAAAGCCGTCTCTCTTACCTCAGCCATTGTCATTTAGTCGGATGTTTCCAAGGATACCGTGGAGTTTGCCATTCCCGGCGAGTCCCACAAAACAACTGGCTCCAACTCTCCTGTTCGCTCAAGTACTAAAGCAACAGAGCCATCACACAGAGCAGCATCTCCTCTGCTCCAACAACACAGACACACATGTACTCTGCCTCTCTCTGTCTTCTCTCTCTCTCTCTCTCTCTCTCACACACACACACACACACACACACACACGCTGAGCCACCAACACTCACTCCACAAAAAGAGAAGAAGTAGTCACTGTGCTTTCACTCTCACTGCACAGATGCACACACACACCTCCTCTGCTTTCTCTCCTCTAATGTTGCCGTGGACTCGCTCTAAACTACTCAAGATGTTCTGTGAGTGTGTGTGTGTGTGTCATTGAGTGTGTGTGTGTGTATGTGTGTGCGTTGAAACTGGGCACAGGGGATTGGAATGAGATCCTCCCACTCGGCATTCTCACCTCAGGAGCTGCCTGCTCCCTCCCTAGGCTGCGAACACAACACACACACACACATGTGCACACAGACAGAGGTGTGTATGTGCGTTCACGTGCGCAGACACACACACATACATGTCTACCCCCTCAGAGTCACAGGGCAGTCCCCTCACAGCTGGCTGGAAGAGGGCATGACACTCATCTTTCACAGAGATTTGATCAAAAGGAATCACAAAGGCTGGAGGCTCTCCTAATGCAGTCAGGGGAGTCTCTCCCTATCTGCCCCTCTCTCTCTCTCTCTCTCTCTCTGTCTGAGTAATGCCCTAAATCAACGCTGCCCCTCTCGCTGCACACAGCCCGGTGTGTGTGTGTGTGTGTGTGTGTGTCTAGATTCACCTTAACACAGCCCTGTGAACAGCCTCCATAACAAGTTACGCCTTGTGCCGTCAGGAATGTGTCAGTGTCTGTGTTGAGTGTTTCTCAGGAGGAGGGGGACTTCACACATGACAAAAAACAAATTTGTGTTATCTTCAGGAATACGTGTACCCAGGGTCAAAAAATCAAACCTCACCACTTTTTCTTTTCTTTACCTGGTAGAAATGTAGTCCATACAACACAAAGTATTGAACACCTAAAAGTATCAAAAGCTTGCAGTGAATGTCCGGGTTCAGATTTGTGACCATACTTTTTTTCATTTTTCACTTCCAGACCAAAAAGAAAAAAAGAGAAGGTTTTTATGCCGCTAACTGAATGTAAAAATAAGGATAGTATTTGATTATGTTTGGGGAGAAAATATGTAATGTCAAAAAAAAATGTTCAATTATCAGTGTTGAAGCTCATTCACTCGCAAAGAAACATTTATAACAGCCAGCTCTTGTGTAAACGTCTATGTGGCAGCTCAGCGAGTTTGGGTGCATAAGTTTGGGTGAAGAGTGAAGAGCTCAAAATGAATCTAAAGCACACATTTTTACAAATTACCATCCCCTTCACTCAACACTTTCTGGCCTTTTTTATAAATCTTTATTTTACACAAAGGGGAGATCTCTGCAGGACACCTTTTGGGTTAGAGTAGAAGTTTCCAACCTTTTTCATTGGAGCCCCATAACTGGAATTCAAGAAAATAAAACCTGAGCATTCCCATGACCCACGCAACAATGATGTTAAAAACTGACATGAGGAGGAAGTGAGGAACAATGTATTTTTGTTTTGTGCCTTTATTAGATGGGACAAGTTAAGAGAGACAGGACATGTTGGGAGGAGAGAGGGATGACATACAGCAGAGGGCGACTTAACCGACGGCTATCAGGCGCCCCGAATGTTGTATTTTGTAGATTTGAAGACCTTTGAAAAGACTGTCCAGTGAAGGCTTCTTCATGCCTTACAGATGAAGCCTATCCTCTGCGTTTATTTCATCAAGGAGCAGAAGTGTGTTATCATTGTTTTTGTTGCATATCTCATTTTGACAACCTCAGAGTAGACAGAGCCTTTTATCCCCCCTGAGATTTTTGCGTCTCATCGAGGAGGGCTTGGACCTCAGGTTGGGAACCAATAAGTCACAGGATGGAGAAAAAACTAGGATTAAAGGAGTTTGTCATTTAAAAAGTTCAAGTACAAATTAGCACTATTGGAAAACCGTCACATAAATAATCAGAGACGTCAGCAGACGTGTGGAGAAAATCATTTTCACTTTTTTTTTAGAAGAATTTAGAATTTATTAAAGCTTTTCAGAGGAATCAAAGGCTGCAACTATTTTTTTTCCCAGCAGATCGATATTTCTTTTTGAATCATATTAAATAATTTCAAAAGCAGAGTGTTGGTTTCTTAAGCCTCAGGTTACATTTCCCAAAATTTCTAGTAGTCAGAAACGACTGATTAACGTCTTGTGCCCACAGTTAAGAAGCTGGACGATGTCCTGTTTGGCATCTTTGCTTTCCATTTATGTCATACCTGCTTATCTATCAATTAATAAACCACTGCTTTCTGCTGTAAAACTTGAAATGTACCATTCATAACCACAAGTTGAGGATAACATGGAAGCTAAACACTAGCTTTAAAAGTTGTAAAAAAAAAAACAACACAGACATGTAATGTAATAGCTTTAAAAATGCTTAAACAACTGAAATGTTTATTTGATGAAAAGGATCTTTGGAAAGAGTCAGCTGATTCATTAAATCAAGACTATGATTACAGTTTTCAACCCTTTTCTTTAACTTTTGTTTGCCTTTATCCTCTTCCTCTCCTTCCTCCTTCTCTCCGCCCTGTGCAAGAGGGAAAGCTCTGATGATTTAGCCATTAGAGGCAGCTGCTGATCCACAAATTACACAGCAAGTTTAAACAGGTACACCTGGTCTGCTCCACCTCCACATGAAGGGGGGTGGGGAGCAGGGGGACGCCGTCAGGTTTACAGATACTTGGATTTACCCTGAAAGTATCAATGGAGCCCTCAGATTTACCAACAATTCTCACATTTATATTATTAAACAGCTTCTTGTAGAAATCTGTTTTTCTACTTTTTACCCGCCGAGGCATGTGGGGAGTTCAGTGCCTTGCTCAGAGGTAGCTCATCCAAAGTGCTGTGGGGAGGGATGCGTATTACTCATCCACTTTCCCCCACCCACATTCTCCCAGCGAGGAACTAAACCTGACAACTCTCCAATCATAAACCCGCTGCTTCAACCTCTAGGCTATAGCAACACCCCCTGACTTGACATTCAGAAATTTGCCAAGCAGCCCTGCTAACTGATAAAGATGCAGCTAATGGCCCTTGAAGTTGGACATTAAAACTGCATTACTTTCCACAGGAGATCAAAGCTGTTCTTATTTGTGAAAAGCCCAAAATGTTATGAGGTTACATATATGGATAAGAGACATCCCGTCAAGGCATGTAACGCAAGGTTGGAAAGCCCTCCACTTCCCTCCGGCCGTCAAGGCAAGCAGATCTGCTTACCGGCCTTGTATTTATTCCATACCTAGGGGATGCATACCAAACACAGCCCCAGACCTGGCCTGGATTAGGTCTGCGCTGCTTGTCAGATTGCTGCTCCCTGGGCTGGAGCACCACAGACGTATTCGTGCCCTGCGGGGCTGAGTGTAGAAGCTGCAGCTAAAACCACAGCAAATAAACTCCATGTGCAGCGAGAACAGGTCATGCTGCCTACTTACATGTCTGTCATTAGCTTTCCTGCAGGGAAGAGTGAAAGGGCTTGAGTACTTGAGCAGATGAGCAGCTGTAGGAGAGCATTACACACTCCTTTACATTTTCTTTACAGGATGAATCTGAGGAATACTCTGCTAAAGTTATCATGGGTGAAATGAACATTTGGTTGATCAGGCCTTAAATTTACATATGCAACCAAAACTTGATGATCCAAATACTACAAGCTGATAAAAACACAATCACAGGGGAGTTGTTTAATACTAATTTCACTCTCATTATTGTTCATTACGTTCTTGATCCATAGGCACATTTCTGTTTTGATGAAATCAAAGAAAGGAAACTATTGACAACACACCTTTTCCCTGATACATTTAAATACACTTTAAAGTAATAAGTATTTAAAGTTATTTATTAAAGTCTCAAATAAATGCATTCATTTTTTGAATCATGTTATTTTGTCCCTTTAGATGCAAAGAAGCGTTGCAGTATCTCCCCGTTGGCACAGTGATAGAAGAAGAACGACACTGCTACGTCTCTGAATGTCTCGTTTCACTTTAAAAACTAAACAGCTCAGCTGAGTCCAAAGTAATGTCCACATTATGACATCAAACATTTACCTTTGTTACTGTTCCTCTGAGCGGTTTGACTTTTTGATCCGTAACAGGTTACTTTTTGTGGTGAAGTTAAAGTTGTAACCTTCGATCTACCAGGGGAGCTTACTTTATTTCAAAATAAAAGCATGGTTGAATTCATACAGCAAGTGAAGTACCCTCAGGTTAAGACAGAACAAAAACTTTATTTTGAAATATGAAACAATAGAATTTCAAAGATGCGATTAAAAATGTGATTAATCACGATTAACTATGGACATTTTGCGATTAATCATGATTTCAATCATGACAATGACACGGACATAGTCTATAGCTGTAAGCCGGTAGCAGGAAGCGACACCCCCCCCTCCCACCAGACACATTGAATTTCACTGACTATTTCCTGCTTTGTTCTCACATCAGCTCAAATTCAAGCGGATAATAATGTAGGAGTTTTGTGCAAGTGTGAAAGCACCATTATAGAAGTGATGAATATAGAAAATCACTAAATGAGAAATGATGAAACTGCAAAATATTACTCTAATTTACCTAGTTTAATAAAAGTCAATTGGATGAATTTAATAATTGAAGATATTCCTTAACTGACTCATTGTTCATCTAATTTCTAGACCCAGACACTGACCTGTAACGCCTGACAGTTACTGTCAACTAAAGTTCATATGGCTGAGGAGGTTAATGTATTATCTAAATGTCTTAATTGAAAAGCATAAATGTAAAAAGAACATGATTCGATGTCTATGAAGGTCATGCCGTTGTTTTTATTTACATTTAAAGACATTTCAAAACATTTCAAAGCAGTGTGTCATGATCCATAAGAAGCCTGGATGAATTTAGGTTTTGTTCTGGCTTTTATCCCTCCTCACTGACTGCCGTGTCATGCACAACCTGCCCCAACACAGCCACACTACAAGGGCAGATGAATTTTGTGTGTGTGTTATTGAGTGTGTGTGTGTGCATGTGTGTACATGCCCCAGTGTCGTCAAAGTGTTGGCCTGCCTTTCCTCACTTTAGTTGACGGTAAAAAAGGCCAAAAGGGGAGCTATTACCTCCGGTTCCCCTGCAGACCGTCTGTACCAGGCTCCAGCGACCACGGCAAAACGGCTCAAGATCTGCCTGCAATTCCATGCCATTATTCAATACACACAATCTCTCCAGGTCAGTGTAAATCACACAGGG